TCCTTGTGGTTACATCTTTGGGCTCCGACCCAAACTTCAAATCATCATATTTTGAGGTCCTCTTCATGTTTGATTGAGGACCTCTTGCTGTTTGAGGACAGTAGCTAGCACTTCCTTCATTAGCCCTCTTTATGCCATAATTTCGCATAATATTTTTGGCTTGTGTGTGATCTGTTTCGAGGCATGTTATAAACTGTGAAGTTGCTTATTTTGAGCCCTTCTTCAACATTGAAGAAGGGCTCAACACTATTTGGATACTCTATGTGCTACTTGCTTTGAAATCCATGTGTTAGCCCCGTTTTTGTATGCCATTTTAGCCGTATCTTTGCTTGCTGTTTGGCCATGTCATAAACTGTAAAAATGCTTGTCTCAGGGCTGTCTTGCTTCTGTCTTCATGCTCCATGTCCATATCAGGCATGCTTTGTATAGCTGTAAGCCATTTCATATGCCTAATTTTGCATTTCGGGATTCATTCCATGCGTTGAGTGTTGTTTCGTTATGTTTCGGGGCTGTTTTGCATCACCTATCACCTCTGAAATTCGCATGAAAATTGTCCATGTTTGTGCCTTTCAAATGCGTCGAAAAGTTGCTTCATTATGCTTGAGTCTTGGACCATGTATCTATGCATGTTTGCATGTCGTTTGCCTCCATGTACTTAGCATTTTTGGCCACTGTTTTGGGCCTAACTAGAGCTGCCTAATTCATGTTTAAGACCATCCTTTGCTTATTTGCATGCTCACCTTGCGTGTTTGCTTGTATCGGCATGTTGCATCCTTAGCTCGTATGCCTAAGTTGCATTGCATCTTGCATGCATCACCTTGCCTCTTGAGATGAGTATGATAGAGGTTAGGCCTCCTTGTGTGTTTATTTGGTTTGCATGCATTTTGAAATTGAAGTTGCACACTTGATTCTTTGGGCCATCATGCATGGAAATGCGTGAGTGGTGGTCCGAGAATCGGGGCACAACCTCCTTTGAGTCATTAACATGATAAGGAATGTGATTGGTGCATAAATTGCTTGAATTGCATTGCCATGCAAGATTTTGCCCTCTGCTGCTGTGAGTTGCAGGTTCTGCAGGAATTTATTGCCGGCCGGCAGTATTTAGTGCCGATCGGCAGTCAATCGATGGCCGGTGGATCTATTTTGTGTCGGTGACTAAATGCTGCTGCCGGTGGAAATCCTGCTCAGCCGATGATATCCCCCAGTGTCCTGAGAGGCATCCTTGAGACTTTGGCAGTTTTCAGAAGAGCAGAGCAGGGAAAACGGAGGCAAACTATGCATGGCAGTGCGATTCCGAGCCAGTCCCGAGCATGTGTTGCATCTGGCCCTCGCCCCGAGGCGGTTTACCGTTTTTCTTTAGTTTAGTTAATTTGTTAATTAATTAAGCAATTTGTAATATTTAATTAGCTTGCGTAGTTAATTAATTTATATTATTATTTCGGTCCCTCCGAGTGAGGGCATATTTGTAATAAGTGTGCGTGCGTGTAATGTATGTCTTCCAACCCCACTTCTTTCTTCCCTTTTATTTACCTGCTTATGATGGCAGATTAGGGCACATTTATTTTAGCATACCTTATGCTACGCATGCGTGCATCCATACATTTGTACTGCATGCATTAGGCTCGGTACATCACGCTAACTGCATTCGTACTTCAATTCAAAAATTGACTATGTGATAGTTGATCGCATTTCATATGCCATGCTTAGGTTAGCCGAGCCTGCCTAGATTGCATTTTTGCATGTGATGCATTAGCCATTTTTTAACATGAACTAGGACATGCATGTTTGCTAACTAGTTTACTGTTTTGGCACGGAGTACAATGTAAGTATTTATGCTTTAGCATCCCGCATGCGTGTGAGTGTTACCATGACAGTATGCCTGCCATGCGGCTAAGTGCTTATATGAGATAAACTGCTTGAATGCCTGTGGATGGAGGTCGAATTGCTTAAATTGGGATAACACATTAAAACTGTGAATTTTAAAGCCCACTAGATAGTGGCAAAACCATCTTTTCCAAAAGCCCACTTGAAGGTGGCAAAAACCTGCATTTTAGCCTACTTGCGAGTAGCAAACCATTTTCAAAACAAACATGAAATGTTTTGTTCCAATTTGGCGATTTGGTCTATACTTGTTTGCTGCGCGCATAACATAGTAATTCTAGGCTAATAACCGGAAGAAGAAACATAAAGTATTTCAAAACTTGATATCATGGTTAGTAGAGGCCGATATTTGATCGGGCGAGCGGGGGTGCTCACGAAGTGACCTTCCCCAATCGTACCCAAGTTTCCGAGCCAAGGCAACTTTGGTGATGACGAACACGTGGCCTTAGGCAACGAGTCAGGGTTTCCTAAATTTCCTAAAATAAAATATTTAGGTGGCAACTCTGTATCTAGCAAAGCAGTCCATGTTTGGCACTTCTTTTCAAAAAAAATCTTTTTCTCAAAACGATTTGCCGGATTTGGACTCTTTGGTTCAGATTTAGAACCGTGACACAAATCGAGTCCGAACTGTAGCGAGGGCCCCACGCGGGCGCGTCTACAGGAACGAGCAACTTCAATTCCCAAAAAATACTTCAAGCTCCCCAAATCTTTGATTTCAACTCACTAGCTAAATATTTCTTCAACAGAGGTATTTCCTCACTATCATTGTCGGTAAGAACTATGTCATCTACATAAACAATGAGTGTTGTAGTCTTACCATGTGAGAAATGTTTCACAAACAAGGTGTGATCTGTTTGACTCTGTTTAAAGCCATATTTAAGCATAGCCTAACGACTTTCAAAGCCTGCAGACTTTGTCTTCTGTCTGATGGTCCTCAAAACCAAGAGGAATGCCCATATATACTTCTTCTTCGAGATCACCATGGAGAAAGGCATTCTTTACATCAAACTGATGAAGTGGCTAGTCTAGATTAGCTACTAGAAAGAGAAGTACTTTGACCGAATTCATCTTAGCTACTGGTGAAAAGGTCTCCTAATAGTCAACGCCATATGTCTGAGTGAACCCTTTTGCCACAAGCCTATCCTTGTAATGCTCAATAGACCCATCCGCTTTGTGTTTTACAGTATACACCCATTTGTATCCCATAGGTCGTTTGCCTTTAAGTAACTCAGTCAATTCCCAAGTGTCATTCTTCCTAAGTGCTTTCATTTCCTCAATCATGGCAAGTTTCCACTCAGAGGTAGCAAGAACATCCTAAAAATGGTAAGGAATGCTAACAAAGGAAATATTTGACACAAACGCTTTCTATGAGGATGACAAATGAGAGTAGGATATAAAATTTGAGATAGGATGTTGACTACAAGATCTCACACACTCTTTCTCTTGGCAATAGGAACATCAAGATCAATGGACTCAAGAGATTCAAAGTTACCTGGACTCTCATTAGAAGCAGGAGATGGCAGTGGTGGAGCAGAAGTGGTCTCTTGTATCCAGTTAACTTTCTCCCTGTCTTTGTCCCTGACATAAACTTGTCCTTCCCTATCCTTGGGTTCTATAGTCCCAGTAGGAGGTGGTGGTGCAAGAACTAATTCCACTATAGGAATTAAAGGAATCACTTCACCCCAAGGCTCCCCTTGAAGAGAGGACTGTGACACCGGAGAGGACAAGAAATATGATTGGGACTTAAAGAATGTGACATCCATGGACACAAACCACTTATGAGAAGGAGGGTGGTAACACTTATACCCTTTTTGAGTAGGAGAGTACCTAAGAAAAACACATTTGAAAGAGCAAGGGTCCAACTTATCACGAGTATGAGAGTGATTGTGGACAAAACAAATGCAGCCAGATATTTTTGGAGGAATAGAAAACACGAACTCGGAACCGAGGAGGACTTGAAGAGGAGGGTGTTTGTGCAAAACCTGGGTAGGAAGACGATTAATAAGATAGACAGCGGTGAGAACAATGTTGCCCCAATAGGACCAAGGCACACTCATAGACAAACACATGCACTGAGCCATGTCAAGAAGATTGAGTGGTATTGGTGCAAGAGGTCTGATGGATAATGCTATGAGCAGAAAAATATTGCCCTAACCCAGAATCTATGTATTCCCCCTATTATCAGAACGGAAGATTTTGACAATGGCCCCAAACTGAGTACAAATCATCTTATGAAAATTGCGGAATGCAGAGAAAACCTCCCTCTTATCTTTTATGAGATGCACCCAAGTAGTATGAGAAAAATCATCAATAAATGTAACAAACCATCGATGACCTTTCACAGACATAACACGAGATGGACCCCAGACATCAGAATGTATTAACGAAAAAGGAACTAAACTTTTATTAAAACTGGGTGCAAAAGAAGCTCTGTGTTGTTTTCCAAGTTGACAAGACTCACAAAGAAACTCAGACACATTATTGTTGGCAAAACAAGATGGAAATAAATGTTTAAGCAAATAAAAAAAAGGATGCCCAAGACGCCGATGCCACAGCCATAAATCATCTTGGGTAGTAGGTCTCGTGGTGGAAGAATGAGCAAGCTTGTTCGGTTGATCCAGGAAGTAGAGACCATTTTCTGCACTACCACTATCAATCGTCCTCCTTGTGACAAGGTTCTGAAAAAAACAATGATCAAGAAAAAATGTCACACTACAATTCAAATCCTGTGTAATACAACTCAAGGATAACAGATTAACAGAAAAATTAGGAACATGGGGAACAGAAGATAAAGGGATAGTAGGAGTGACATGGACTAAACCTTTTCCAAAAATGGAAGAAACAGTACCATCTACAATCCTAACTTTGTCCTGACCTGAAGAGGGCTTATAGGCAGAGAAGAGGTCAGAGGACCTAAACATATGATCTGAGGCCCCAGAATCAATAATCCAAAGTAAAGACGTATGAGACAAGAAAACACAAGGAGAAGAGGGTAAGTTCCCTGAGTGGGCAAATGACGAGAAATATATACTGAGAGTAGTAGAAGACCGGTGGTCCAGCAAGTGACGCAGAACATTCTCAAGCTCAAGAGTAGTCATGCTAGAGAGACCATCAAAAGGTTAGCCAATAGAAGTGGAAGTAAAATCAAGTGTATCAACAGTACTAGACTGATGAGCCCCTAGATGAGAACCCCATCCTCTAGACTGGCCTGACCGACCTCCTCTAACACCAGACCGATCACCTCGACCCCTAGATGGAGTCCTATGAAGCTTCCAACATGTCTCACGATTATGCCGCGGTTTTTTATAGTAATCACAAAATACAGAGTCCTTGGTGGCAGACGGAAGGATGAGAGTTAGGCTAAGGCCATCTCTAGGAGTAGAAAGTAATGCGGAGCGGTCAGTAGAGACAGAGGACATCATAGCAAACCGGCGACTCTCCTCATTCTCTACATAGGCAAATGCATCCTGAAGTAAAAGAAGAGTGTCCATACTTAGAACCCGACTTTGAACTGGATCATACTCTATATTGAGCCCTGCCAGAAACTTGAAGACCCTTTCTTGTGCAATGAACTTCCTGTACTTGACTAAATCAGCAGTGCAAATAGGCTTATAGTCCTGTAGGCGATCAAGGCGTTTCCAATAATTGGTGAGGAAGGTGAAGTACTGAAGAACCATCTGCTCCCCCTGAATAGAGCTCTCAATAAAGCGACGTAACTCAAATGCCTGGGAGAAATTCCCTTTGCAGAAATAGGTAGCAGCCACAGCATCCCAAATATCCTAGGTAGTTTCCATAGACAAGTAGCCCTCGCTAATGTCTGGTACCATCGAACGAATAAGCCAACCCATAATCAAAGAGTTAGTAATCTCCCATTGGTCATAACCTAAGTCAGTGACGCTAGATGCCTGTATCCTGCCATCAACATACCCCATCCTTCCTTTGCTCTTCAAAAAAATAGTCAAACTCTGCGACCACACTAAATAGTTTTGACTATTAAATGGAGAGGTGGTGATTTTAAGACGAGGGTTGGGGTTATCAGTCATAGTAATAGGTAGAATGGAACTCTCACTCCTAGGTGTTTGAGAAGTAGTGGACATACTGGGGAAAACTTCCATGGAAACTATACGACCGTACCCTTAACAAAACTAGTGCCAATCACAAACCCGAAAGATGGTGGGGGAAGGAAAAACACAAGGATAAAGGTTTAAGAGCTCATAGTTTTTTTTTTTTTTTTTTTTGAAGTTTGTTTGTTTGATAACCTGGTACTACTATATCAGTAAAATGACAAAGGATGAAAGAACTACACACCAGCAGCAAAACGACAAAGGAAGGAAGAGCTACACACCAAGAGCAAACTTCAAAATGACATCATCAAAACGACAAAGGAATGAAGAAAATGGACTGGTGCGGCTGTGGGCTAGGTCGTCGACTAGGTTTATCGGCTAGGGCTGTCGAATGGCTCGACAAGGCTAAGGCGGCCAATAAGGACAAGCGACGAGGCCAGGGGGTCTGGCGGAGGAGACCACTGAGACTAGGGCTGCCTCTGGCAGGTGACAGGAACGAGCAACAACATAGTAATGAGCTACGTGACTGAGAGACCCTTCGGCAGTAGCCGACTGGATTGGAAAAACAAGGGAACACTGTCAAAACTGGATGGGTAATGTGGTGGTGGCTGAGGGATAGAGCAAGGTGGCTGTCGGGTGGCTGTGTGGTGGGTAGGGTTAGGTTTGTGGCTCTGATACCATAATCAATTTAGAGAATACCAAGATTAGGAAATGATTAGGATATTATCCCCTATTTATATTAATGAAGATCAATAATTACAAGGGAGCTCTAAGGCATAGAATAATTACAAAATAATAACCCACATAATCATATATTATATTATTCTAACATCTCAGCCCATTTGATTCACTTTTGACGTGGCAATCTCACATAAAAAGAACTATAGATTACACTATAAATAAGCGCTAGAGCTAAGAAATGATTTGTTAAGTTAAGAAAGAAAATAAAAATAATTAAATATGGTGTTTTCTTTGCCTTTTGTTTGCATAAGTTGGAGAGAAAGGTAAGAAAAAAAAAAGAAGCTCAGACTTCTATCCAGTCCGAAATCAGACTGAAGCGTGTTGTTAGGTTTTCATGGATCGATGATCCTACCTTCCAATGTGTAGTGCTTCTCGAGTACTTTATTTTTTGCAAAAAATCGCGTTGATCGGATATCGATAATCACTTAATCAAATCAAATTTGTGTTAACGGTAAGTATGCTTTTAAAAATAAATTGTTGACACAAATATGATCCAACCAAGTGGCTATTGATATCTGATCAACATGATTTTTACAGGAATAAAGTACTCAACAAGATCTATACATTGAACAGTTTGAATCATCGAGATGAACCATAAATGGGCCGGACTAGATCATCTAGTTAGAATAACCAATTGAAGAAAGTCAAATCCCAGCAAAAATATATGGTGATTTGCCTCTATCTTCCCTCATATCTCATATTTAATAATCCAATCAAGTTTTTAGGACCATGAGAAATCAATTCATTTTATTTTCTTTTCAAATCACTCAATCCAAATTGAGTATTAAGGCACTCAAACACTAAAACATATAAGATTGTTCGCGATTAATTATTTTGGCCCCCAAAACCATTATTTTGGTCTCTAAATGCTTTTAGTGACAAAAATAAATTTGTCAAACATCACTAAAATTCACTAAACGAAATGTTTAGAAAAATGCCAATCACCCAAAACAAGAACATGCAGTTCATTTTAGCTTTCTATACTGTCTGTTCAACCCATAATTTGTAGCAACCGCATCTATAACTGCCTCCATGCAATCAATCAAACCTACAAAGTTTCTAAATCAATGACCAACACCCTAGGTAACTTTGAAGGAATCTGATATCACATTGGTACTTATTTACAAAATTCCTAAATTCCCAGTTCAAATATACAATTGAAAGCAAATTTGAAACATGCAAAAAAGGCTAACTAATAGGTCAAAACATCATCACAGGAATCAAAAAATCATGAAACCCTTTTAGTTTTTACAAATCAATCAGTTAATGAATGGAAAATTAAAAAAAATTATTCATCAAATCAATCAAGTCAAAAATTATAGGAAAACTCATATATAGAAACTCGAACAACAATCATAAAACACAAAAAGATGTCAAAAATTTACAAAAATTAATATCAGAAACTTCATATATAAAAATCTGATACAGAGTTTGAAGTAATACAAAGTTTAGAAATCAGAGTTTACTTGGTCCCTATTGTAGACACCCCATTTTGACCGGCCCTAAGACTTGGGCGCTTCTTTTTGATCACCCGATGATGAAAACAAGAAGGTGTATCTCATAGAATCCTCAACAAAAAAAATTAGAATTTGAGCCCTGTTTCCAACCCTAAACAGCCACAAATTACCTTTTCGAGGGAATATTCTGACCTCACGGTTGCTTTCAGAATGATTCGTTTAGCTAGGATCAACCTTCGTTACACTTTTGAAGGCCTCACTGAAAAATTCTCCCAAAATCTGGGTTAGAACACAATTATTTGAAACTTTTGGGCCAAATTGTAATTTTCAAAACTTAGGGAATATTATGTTATGTGAGGGAATATTCTGTTAAGTCAGGCAATGTTTCGTCCATATGTAGAATATTCTGTCAATGTTGACTGGGACGTTGATGTGGCGGTCTTGCTGACGTGGCATGACTGGATTGGTTCTTGCTGTTGACGTGGCGCTGGCATGTCTTTACCCAAAAAAATGAATTTAACGAATACTTGGAAGGGGGTTGGAACCTCTAACCTAACCACTCAATACCCAACTCCTTAGCCACTCTGCCAAAGCTTTACCTTGTGTTATATTTCCCCTCAAATAATATTTAATCATTTCAAACCAACAGGCAAAGAAGGTTTATTTTTGCATTTTTTTCTTGTGTGTGGGACACTTCTCTACTCCATTGGCCAACACATATATTGCCAAATACATGCCTAATCATCCACCATTGTTAAAAAGAGGTTTTGTTTGCATCCATAAAGGAGTATCCCTTGCAACCACTTTGAAAATTCACTCCTCCTATCATATTCTTGTCTTCCACCTTCTTTTTGACCTTAACTATCCCTCATTGCCTATATAGAATGATCAATTTGTAAGAGAGAAGAAGACCACGAAATTGAAGAAAAAAGAGTGAGAAAAGAGTGAAAAAAGAGAGAAAAACTGAGGTAGCGTTTGGTAGAACTTTCTAAATATGATTTGGGAATATGAGTTGTATTTTGAGTTTGTGAGTCTTGGAATTATGATTTGAGTGTGAAAAATTTGTTTGGTGGATGAGTTTTGAATTGAGTGGGGAATTTTTTATGTGACATATGATATTTGATACAAAAACTTACAACTTATGATCAAATACATAACTCAAAATTCTATTAAAACTCATACAAAATTTTAAAGAATTCTGAAAATATTTTTTGTTGAATATATAAAAAATAACATCTGTCAATTGCACCAAAAAAAAAAAAATTGCACTGTTCCGGTCAACTGGTGGGACGACCGGTGAGACAACTGGTTAGCCCAAATTTTTCGGCCTTTGACCGAGTTTTCGAAAGTGAGCATGTAATTAATTTTTGAAAGCTGCAAACAAACGTCATATGCAAACTAAAGGGTGGAACTAAAGTTTCAAAACACTTCAAAACACAGTCTGAGTTTTTGAGCTAAAAATACTCCTATCTTCCATATACACCCCATACCTTTCATACAAACTGAAATTCCATCTTTTCTACACCTTAAACTCTTTAATTTTTTTTAAATATTTGAATTTCAGTAGCTTTGATCAAGGGGAAGAGTGGGTGTTGGTAAAAGTGAGCAAAAACAAGAGAGATAATAATTTTCCCCCACATATACCTCCAATTCATCATTTTTGCAAGGATTCCAAGCTTTCAAATTAAGGATTGAGAATACACTTTCTAAACTTGAGGGTGATCAAGAAGAAGTTTGGAAATAAAGAAGTTCAATCTTTCTTTGGAAGGTGAATTTCTAGTCTTTCATTTTTTTTTTAATATATTTTCTATCTCATATTTATTTTCTTACTTCTTATTTCATAGTGTTTTGTTATAATTCAAGTGTTTTGTTTATCTCATATTTATTTTCTTACTTTATATTTCATAGTGTGTTGTTGTAATCAAAGTGGTTTGTTTAGCTCATAATTATTTATTTATTTGTTTATTTTTATTCGCTTGCTTTAATTTCATATTAGTTTTCTTGTAATCTTGCATGTTCTACCTCATAGTGTTTTTTTATAATCCAAGTGGTTTGTTTATCTCATATTTATTTTCATACTTTATATTTCATAGTGTGTTGTTGTAATCTAAGTGGTTTGTTTAGCTCATAATTATTTATTTATTTATTTATTTTTATTCGCTTGCTTTAATTTCATATTAGTTTTGTTGTAATCTTGTATGTTCTACCTTATATTTGCTTTCTTATTTTAGGTTCATGTTAGTTTTGTTGTAATCTTGCATGTTTTCTTGTTTTAGTCTCATAGTGTAGACACCCTATTTTTGACAGTCCTTTAAGACTTGGATATTCTTGCAGGTACATCCGATGATGAGTCTGTTTGATTGCCGAACGCTCCAAGTCTCTAGCAGAATGCCACAGCTTTGAGCATTTCAAACCCTGCATCCATTTTGTCTCATCTTTGGACCATGCCTGGGTCTTTTCATCCTGAAGTTCCTGATGGCCTGTCGGCCATCCTTGGAGGCTGCCGGCCACCACTTTTTCTTTGCCGGCCATTGATGTGTATTGCCTGCCATCAATGAAGCCTTGTCAGCCACCACTGATGGCCTGCCGGCCAGCCATTGTTTGCTGCAGATATTTTGTGATATTTTGTGTCAGCTGTTTGCACACATTCATGCATCTTCCTACACGTGT